CGGGCCAAATTCACTGAGATGCCGCTGGCAAAAGCCATGGTGACGCCAGAATCAACCGACAAGGAGGGAGGAGGTCTGGCCCGCATGAACCAAGCCTTGCGGCCCTGCCGCTTGATTGCGGAGACGTCCAGAAAGCCACGCTCAGACGCCCAAGCACGGAAGTCATCCTCCGACCAAAGAGGAGGAACACCGGTGACAAACCATCGCGGAGCCAAAGCAGCGGAAGACATGGAACCGCCAACGATGCCCAGCGCGGCAGTGCAGCCAGGACGATAAACCAGTCTGCCCTTGGCCTCCTTGGACGCCTTCTTGGCCATGTCAAGGTAGTCGCCATTGGAAGACGCCGAGTCTCTAGGGAGCCACTGGGGGGCATCGCCGGCCCGATGCCGGGAAAGAAAGCAGCCACAAGGCAAGTCCAACCCAAGCAAAGTGTCAACATCCTTGGGCTTGACCACCAGCAGACAGGTCACTTCCGTGTTATATGTAGCCGCCCCACGTACCTGCAGGACAACGCGGCGATGAGCGTCCAAAAGCATCGCAGGAAGGAGGTGCGGACTTTTGGAAGCCTGAGTGTAGAGACTCTCCAGGGCAAACGCCTTGGCGATGGTCAGTCGAAGGAGGACCGTGGATGGCGCATTCTTATCCGCCACATCGACAGGAGAAACAGCAACGTCATCCTTGAGCCCAGCCGGGAGACTTTTTAGTTGCGGGTGACCCTGACCGAGAAAGTCAACTTGAGCTGGGCGCGGAGAAGGACCACAACGGCCGTGAGCCAAGACTTGGGACTTGCCCTCCGGACAGAAGGTGACAATGGTCAGGGGAGTTTGAACTCCCCTGGCTTTGATCCAGTCCAAGGCCTTCTGGCGCTCAACGCTAGAAGAACAGGCAATGACAGTCTTGACCGCAAGGTCCGACTTATGCAGCGCAGAGTACTTAATGACAGGGGAATCCCAAGCCGGGGCAAAGATGGATGGCGCTGAAGACCGAGCAGGCGGGGCCTCACGAGCCACAGAAACCCAGGTGGCCTGTTCCGTTGGCGAAGGAGCGGGAGTGGCAGAGACCTGGGGAGCAGGGACAGAGGAAGGAGCCCCAAGAACAGCCAGGAGAGCAGAACGAAGATCATCATCAGAACGAGTGGAACCCAAGTTGCGCCACTGGTCAAAGGCAGTGACGAGGCGGTCACTCAAAGACTCGGCAACCAGGGCCCGAGTGGATTTGGTGGCATCCGAACGGGGCGCCTTTGGGGCAGTAGGAGCGGCCCGACCTTTCTTAGCAGGACGCTTGGGCCGGGAGCGTGCGGCACCCTGGAGAGTCGCAACCTGTTGAGCCAAGGTGGCAACAGCAGCTGACAGGGCCTCCAGCTGTTGAGCATCACAACGGCGCCGGACCTTGGCACGGGCACCGCCGCCGCCCCCACCAAGGAGAGGGTCATGAACCTGGAAGTCAACCTGCCGAAGCGTACAGACCCACCAGACACGCAGGAAAGCAAGCGTAAGGCGAAGGGAGGCAAGAAGGAGCACGCAGGCACCAACGAAAGCACAAAACCCCTGGAGTAAGAAGTGCAGAAGAGCAAAAGGACCAAGAAGGCCAACAAAGGCAAGCGACAGAGGGGGGCAAGCCCAGGTGGCTACGCACCAAACAAGAAGACGAGGGAGACCCCGGGAGCAACAAAATGTCCGTGCGCTAGGCGCACGGCTTCTGCCAGCTCGGCGGCATGAAGACAGGCGCTTGCCACATGGCATCGGAGGCAAACCAACGAAGACCGGCCAAGCAAGGACCATCACGAGCCAATGGAAAAGTCCACAGGCGCCGCCAAAAGCGAAGGACCCAGACATGCAAGAAAGAGCCAAGCACAAGGCCAGCTCCACAAGCACGAGAGATCGATGCGAGCACAACTGGCGCACAAAGGACACCGCAAACTCGGTAATTCGCAACCACAGAAGCTGCAAGAGAGAAGCAATCGGGCTGTGGTAACCGCATGCAAGCCAAAGGGAAGGTTCATGGTAAGAGCCACGAAAAATCACCCCAAGGCAGAGGTTGCAAAAGATGCAAATAATTAGTGGACTAATTGCGAGTATGCCTGATGTCCGCTGCTGAATCTTCTGACTCAGCCCCACCATCCACCACTTGGAGGTCATCGGCTTCCCACTGACAGCTCCCAATTCCCGGCAGGACTAAATTTCTCTGGATCGGTCATCACAAAATTCACGGAGCTCTTGGGCAAATCCTATGTGCCAACTGTGTTGGGCCAAAACGGTTCCAATGGCATGCGCATACAACTGGGAATGCGTCAACACAATGAACCTGTGTAAATGCTTGGGGTCTCAAACCCCACTTGCCTAAAGCACCTGAAACCATGGAAGCAAGCAGACGGCAACCTTTATGACATGGAACTGGACGCCGTTTGGGGCAAAGCGAACATGCCTTGTTCGGAACGGGGGTCAACGGTTGTTTTTCCCCTCAAACGAAGCAGCTGGAGGTTCGCTCAGCAAACCCAAAGCCTCTGAAAATAGAAGTCCTTGTTTCCCCGCCTGTCCTTCAGAGAATTCTTGTGCCGCAGGGAACATAAAGATCAAGTTATGTCCTGTCCACAAAAACAAACATAAAAAAGATAAAACCAAGTAGCAATGACAATTACCGATAACAAAATGCAAATGCAGCAGCAACAACTACAGCCACGAGGATGCGACGTGCACTTCCAGTTAGTCAGTTAGTCCTTCGATTGCCAAGGCGCGCTGAAGGAAGCCGGTGGATTGTGTGATGCCGGACCTGAAGCAACGGACAAGGCTCCAGCGACGTGGACATTCTGGTGCACTGTTTTGCCAAAAAGCTGCAGCATTCATGAACAACCAGCGTCTACGGGGCGATTCGTTCAAAGGCCCAGTCTGTAATACGTGCGATATCTGCTTTTGGAATTAAAAGTGGACATACAAGTGCAGTTAAAGCAGCTATGCTATATATGCATTTGTTGCGCAAAATAGAACTCTTGCCTGTTCGTGTTATTGAAATACTAAGAACGATAAAAATGGTATGCTTAACTACCCCCTAGCCAACTACCCCCCCACGCAAGTTAATTTGACTGGGGCTAAAATAAGCCCAACTCGGACCTTGGCAACTAGACCCTCCCCATCGTTCAAGCGGCCCAACGGCAACTAGACCCTCCCCATCGTTCAAGCGGCCCAACGCCACTCCCTGGGACCCTACATGGTGGCAGAATGCAAATACTTGGGATTGCGCTGCCGTGTGGTGAGAGTATTTTCTGCACAGCTCACTACTCACCATTGATTGACGCTCACTTGCCCCCACGGCCACATAATGCTTGGCCAGCGTGGCTCTCTGCGGCGCTGTGATCTCCAGAAGCCCAGCTATATCAGCTATTTGGCAGGATCACTGGGCATCGCGCAGACTAGGGGGGGGTGGTTGGGGGGGAGGATGATCGCGTTCATGATGGATTGCGGAACATCTATGGTTGAAGGCCTCACATGTGAGATCCCCTCTTGCAGACACCACGGCTAAGAGCAGCTCGTTGGGGCCCACTAGCGTAGTTTCTTGGGGCGCGCTTGCTCCTGGACCGTGTCATCTGGGTGTTTTATATTGATTCTTACCTCGTCACTTAGTTTCTTATTTGTTTTTTCAGATTTAGTGCCTCGCCTCGTTACATCTGGCTTGGGTTTTAGCACCTCTCCTCGCCTCGCCTCGCTAAATGTCTGCCTTGGAATTAGGACCTAGCTTCTCTAGCCTTACAACAACGCAGGATAAGGGAAAGGAGAAAAAACCCTCAGCGCGGACGTAGCCTGGCCGGGGGTTCGAAGCGTTCCGAAAGCGTCAAACAGTCAAGTTCCAAAACCACTTTTTGGGGTTTGAAAAGTTGATTTCTAGCCGCAAGCTTTTTTGGTGTATCAAAACAGGCGAAAACAATTTTTCAGTGGCTCGAAAAAATGATTTTCAGTCTCGAGCCTTTTCGGGTTTCAAAACAAGTGATGGGGTGTAAGGAAAGACTCAACGAGTTTCATTCCAGCTCGAAAAGCAAGCCCGGGCCGTTCCAAGGGCAAAAGATTTGAAGTCCTAAAAACAACTCGGGCTGGAAAAGTTGATGTTGTATGCCCGAAAGCTTTGAACAGAAGCAGCCCTAAACAAAGGCCGCGCACCAAGAATCGAACCTGATGTTCTGCCCGCTGAGGGCTCAAGCAGTTGTATTTCCAGCCGCGCTTTTTAGAGACTCCCAAAGCTGGTTAGCAGAGCCTCGGGACTCGCTCCAAGGCCAAAAACGTGAAGTCCCAAAATCAACTTTTCGGGCTCGAAAAGTTGATTTTCAGTCTCGAGCTTTTTAAGGTTTCAACACAAGTGATGGGGTGTAAGGAAAGACTCATTCCGGCTCAAAAAGTTGCTTGTCCAAGCCCGGGGCATCGTTTCAAGGGCAAAAAGATGAAGTCCTAAAAACAACTTGTCGGGCCAGGTAATTGTTGTTGGAAGAGATCAAAGGGAACCCCACCAAAATACTGGGCACTCCGTCATTTCTACTAAATCACCTCGTTGCTGACCTCATTAGTTCCACTAAATCACCTCGTTGCTCACCTCGTTATTTCCCAAAAAATAGTGAGCTCGGCTGGGCTCGTTCTAAAATGCGCAGGTGTCATGCTTCTCTCCTTCGTGTGGCCGGCGTTGACTGTCCAAAAGCAGTTTTCCACTCAGGTGAAGCGCAGCCGAAAGCAAAACGTTGTAGGGGCTAAGCGGGAGCCCCGAAACCTGCCACGTTGGATGGAGCGCAGCGCGTGGACAGAAGGAAAGCCTGAAAAAATGTTTGAAAGCGTAGGCCAGTCAAAACGCCCAGGGTTCACGGGCACGGTGCTGTATCTGCGACTCTCAAATTAAGACTCTTGCAATGAATCTTTCGTTGGAGCAACTGAAGAAAGTCAATGCGTTCCTTTCATTCATCAAAGTTGCTGAGGCCAAATCAAGGTTTTCCAGCCACGGAAATGGCTATTCTTCAATTTGCTTAAGCCCCCTGAAAAATATACATATTTCTTCGTGTCAGGCAGGGACTGTTTGCAGAGCCCTCCACACGGTATTAGTCGGGCGTGCTGCCTGCGTGGGCCAGTGGCCCCCGCGTGTCTAATGGGGAAACTTGAGCTTTGTCACTGCTTGGTGCACTCATCACTGGGCCCTGGCTGACTGTTAGTCCTGATCTTTGGTGTGCATCGGTTGTTTGGTGACCACTCCTGGCCCCTTGCTGTGTTCGTGGACCCACGGCCGTCTTGCCTGTGCGCCACTCTTGTAGGGAGTGCTCGTTGTCATCTGTGCGGGCCCTGGAAAGCTCACGGGCCCTAGAACTCCAACCGTAGGCGGGAGGGAAGGTTGCCCGAGGCTGCAGAACCCAGCAAGCTGCCCATTAACCAATAAAAGTATGTCCAGCAGTGAAATCGATTCCCTTTAATTAAAACCCAAAAAAGAAAACAAAGACACATTCAAATCTCAGCCGGCAGAAATCCGTTGACACCGTGTCCTTACGTCGTTTCGCGCCATGGCCGGCGGGCGTGAGGGCGGCCAGCAGCTCGCCGGCGAAATGGGTGAGCGTCGGCACGGCGAAGCGCAAAGCCCCGGAGACCAGGGACGTGACCAAGGCCTGGGACGCAAGGGCCGTGTCTTGGTTGTGGATTTGGAGCCCCAAAATGACAATTCTGGGGAATGTCTATTGTGGCATGTGTTCTTTTTGAATTTGCCCCCCCCCCAAAAAAAAAAAATATATGGTGGTAGTCCTTTGGGGTGCCCCTTAAAACCAGCCTGAAAAGAGTATATACCCGTAAAACCACACAACCGTGTACAAGTGTACCATGTATGTAGTGGCAACATGTAGGCTGCAAACCAACTAGTGGCATTTGAGCTTGGAAATTTTGGGCCGGATATCTTGGAGTCACTGATCCTTTTTGGGCCTGCGGAGGCTGAGCAGGAGACTGACTGACTGGGTGTGAACGGTTGTGTGAATGTCGGAATGGATGTCTACTTGGCCCATCCTGAGCTTTCAGATTCTGATTCACATTCCTCAAATTAACACAAATTGGCAGAGACCCCAGTTTGGGCTGGGGGGGTTACCCGTCTAGGGGTGGATTCCTTTTCATTCTTTGCAACCATCGTAGCTGTTTCCCTCTGGGTGTCTGTTGGTTTTGTGGAAAGACGGTTCCCTGGAATTGGGAAGTTACCTTTACCCTCCCACCACCTTTGAAACTTTAGAGGCTGGGAAACGCAGTGCTTCCAGCCACATGGTACAGGGTTAAGCAGGAGACAGGGTTTTGTGATGGCCTTGTCTCAAAATAAAACACCCTCGAAATGAGTGCTTTCGTTCTGTCTTTCCAATAATACAACCTCCAAAAAGGGTAATGAAAGGACTTAGATACTTAGAATGGCCCTTTTGTATGGTTAGACTTGGTTTCTCGGGCGCTTTAAAGCCCCATGGAATTATGTTCAGGGAACGCTGTGTGCAGTTACATATATATATATATATATACATATTATATTGTTACATATATCTACACATTGCAGCTTATATTACCCTCCCAAAAATAGGAAGCAAGGAAAAACCTCTGCCCGAGAGCTGGGCAATGGGACCCACGGATCCAACCAATTCGTGGGGAAGGGGCCGAGCGTTCAAATGGCCATGGGTCAAAATCCAAAGCCAAATCGTACCCCCAGTGAACATCCGATTCAATCCAACCACCAAAATAGGGTCTAAAATGGGTGGTGAATTCTACCCCAAAATGGGATACCATTGGTTTTGACCCACAGCCAAATGGCTAGCAACCCGACCAGGTCAAAAAACTGAGATTGGTTGAAGATTGATTGGGGCTGAACCGCCAACCGCTGGTTTGCACTTCGAAATCTGCATAGGTAATTGACCCTTGCAAAGACATGGCACATGTCGACCCGAATACAAGCTTGCTTATGAACCGCATACTAACTAAGCGATCGCCCAAACTATCCCAGTAGGAAGCGGTTTCCCAATTGTCATTCGCCACTTTTGGCTGTTGTTTCTGCAGTGCTCCAGAAGCCCGACCGCAAGCATACTGGCAGCCCCGAAAAGGCAAACCAAAGGAAGCCCAACCAAAGAATTCCATTTGCCCAAGGCCCCCCCCAAAAAAAGAAACTTCAAGTAGTAATAGATTCACTTTAAAGCCAATAGGGGTAAACAGCAAATAATACATTCAGAAAAGGGAAGAACTTTCCAAGCTTAAAGACGTGTAAACCACGTATGAGTCAAAGTCAAAAACCTGGTACTAAAACGGTCCACCCAGGTTGTTTATTTCACAAGTTAACAATTTCAGGAAAAGGAAGAACGTCCCAAGCTTAAACAGGTGAACCACGTACGAGTCACAATCAAAACCTGGCATTCAAATGGTCCACCCAGGTTGCTACTTTTAACAAGACATCTTTTCGGGAAATGGAAGACCTGTCCAAGCTTTAAGAGGTGAACTATGTATGAGTCATAATCAGAAACCTTCTATTGAAATGGCCCACCCAGGTTGTTGATTTCACAAGTTAACAATTTCAGGAAGTGGAAGAACGTCCCAAGCTGAAAGAGGTGAACTACGTATATGAGTCATAATCAGAAACCTGCTTTTAAAATGGCCCACCCAGGTTGTTTATTTCACAAGTTAACAACTTCAGGAAGTGGAAGAACGTCCCAAGCTTGAAGAGGTGAACCACGTATGAATCATAATCAAAACCTGGTACTAAAACGGTCCACCCAGGTTGTTTATTTCACAAGTTAACAATTTCAGGAAGTGGAAGAACGTCCCAAGCTTAAAGAGGTGAACCACGTATGAGTCATAATCAAAACCTGGTACTAAAACGGTCCACCCAGGTTGTTACTTTTCACAAGACATCTTTTCGGGAAATGGAAGACCTGTCCAAGCTTTAAGAGGTGAACTACGTATGAGTCATAATCAGAAACCTGCTATTGAAATGGCCCACCCAGGTTGTTGATTTCACAAGTTAACAATTTCAGAAAGTTGAAGAATGTCCCAAGCTGAAAGAGGTGAACTACGTATGAGTCATAATCAAAACCTGGTGTTAAGATGGTCCACCCAGGATTTTGTTCACAAGAAATAATTTCGGGAACTGGAAGAACTTTCCAAGCTTCAAGAGGCGACCCACGTATGAGTCAAAGTCAAAAAACTGGCATTCAAATGGTCCATCCAGGATGTATTTTGACAAGATAATAGTTTCAGGAAAGGGAAGAACTTTCCAAGCTTAAAGAGGTGAACCACGTATGAGTCATAATCAAATCCTGGTACTAAAAAGATCCACCCAGGTTGTTTATTTCACAAATTAACAACTTCAGGAAATGGAAGAACGTCCCAAGCTTAAAGAGGTGAACCAAGTATGAGTCATAATCAAAACCTGGTACTAAAACGGTCCACCCAGGTTGTTTATTTCACAAGTTAACAATTTCAGGAAATGGAAGACCTTTCCAAGCTTCAAGAGGCGACCCACGTATGAGTCAAAGTCCAAAACCTGGTATTGAAATGGTCCATCCAGGATTTATTTTGACAAGATAATAATTTCAGGAAAGGGAAGAACTTTCCAAGCTTAAAGAGATGAACCACGAATGAGTCATAATCAAAACCTGGTACTAAAACGGTCCACCCAGGTTGTTTATTTCACAAGTTAACAATTTCAGGAAATGGAAGACCTTTCCAAGCTTCAAGAGGCGACCCACGTATGAGTCAAAGTCAAAAACCTGGTATTGAAATGGTCCATCCAGGATTTATTTTGACAAGATAATAATTTCAGGAAAGGGAAGAACTTTCCAAGCTTAAAGAGATGAACCACGAATGAGTCATAATCAAAACCTGGTACTAAAACGGTCCACCCAGGTTGTTTATTTCACAAGTTAACAATTTCAGGAAATGAATGGACTGTCCAAGCTAAAAGAGGTGAACCACGTATGAGTCATCATCAAAACCTGGTATTAAAATGGTCCACCCAGGTTGTTGTTTTCACAAGACATAAATTCAGGAAATGGAAGAACGTTCCCAACTTGCAGAGGCGAACCACGTATGAGTCACAGTCAAAAACTGGTATTAAAATGGTCCACCCAGTTGTTTTTTGCACCATTTCAGGACATGGAAGAACGTTCCAAGCTTAAAGTGGTGAACCACGTATGAGTCATAATCAGCATCCTGGTATTTAACTGGCCCAGGTTTTTGTTCACAATCAAAAAGTCAGGAAATGGAAGAACTATCCAAGCTTCCAGAGATGAACCACGTCTGAGTCATAATCAAAATCCTGGTATTAAAATGGCCCACCTTAGGTTTCGATTAATTGAAATGATTTTCAACTATCACTACTGGATACGGTGTTCATTTTCATGGGGCCCTTGGGCAAATGGAAGTCTTTGGTTTAAAAAAACAAACAAACTCATCAATAATTTGAGGAAATGGAAGAACTGTCCAAGCTTCAAGCGATGAACCACGTATGAGTCATAATCAAAGACCTACTATTAAAATGGTCCACCCAGGTTTTGTCTCACAAATAGTAATTCCAGAAGGCCTTGGCGCTTCAAAAGCCGAAGGAGCTGCCCGCTGGCTGCACTTCCGTTCGACCGGACGTCACATCCAAGGCGCGCAGATCACATCGCCCAAGGGGATGGCACCACAGCCCTCCAGCCAAGCGATGCCTGAGGATGGGCATCCATCCTTGGGGCGTCCCCGTGTTTTTGTTTCTTCCTTTGTTTTTTTCTGTACCCACAGGTAGATTTAAACCAAGTGCTTGACTTTCCGACAGGAAACCTGGGTTCGGTAAAGGATACATCAGTCACAGTCACGGTTCCTTTCGTTGGAATCCTTAGTACGGTTCTTGAAATCCTCTAAGGGTTTATTGACCGTCCCTGCCAAGTCTTGCGTGTTTGAACCAAATTGCGAACATGTCAAGGCACCAAGCACAACACGTTGTCCGTGCGGCTTCCTTCTAAATCATATTAGGGCTTTCTGACGCATTACGCACGCGATCGAAAGATCCTGACTCAACTTGAGGCAGGATCAAAACCGGGCATTCACACGGACCGAGAATCCTGTAAAACATAAGACCTGAAAAGGCGGCCGCTCCGCACCCATTGGCTGGGATGGTCCCTTACCCTTCCAATCTCTCGGGCTTTGACTGTGACTCACTTTGCTTCAACGTACCCCCCCTTCTAAAAAAATAGGCCTGTAGGAACTACCACACAGCGAATGGTTGGCCTTCAACATCCTGAATGACATGCGGGGGGGACACTTGTTTTTGTCCGGAAAAAAAGATGAGGCTACCCTCCCGCGAGTAAACAGCCGGAAAACCTGACAGGGAAATGATCCCTTTAAAAGGAAATGGGTCTTCCAGGACCCCCCCCCGTCCGAACGTCAAGTTCCATGTTGATGAATGGGAGGGTAAACTGGATCCACTGAAGTTACATGCTGCAAATTACCCGAGCCGAGCAGCGTGGCTTAAGGGGAACCTCCCAAAATTAATTTCGAGAAGCCGTAAGCGTGTTCACTTCAAGGATGCAGTTAAAGGGCAGTTGGCAAAGGTCGAACCAAAGAGCAACCCGGCAAAGGAGCCGCTTGTGGTTGAACATGAAGGAGACCAAAAAGGCCAAACGGTTAACGCCGTTTGTTACAAATCTGCAAGCCTTGCCCTAGCAATGCTTTTTCGGGTAGGGATTGGTTGTTCCCTGTCCAAGAACTCTTGAGTCCAGCAAGATTTCAGGTCAAAGGGTCCAAAACGGCACGCTCAACCCTCCCCCGCGGGTTGCTCAAGAAATTGCTCGTTTACTGCCATCCCAGATTGGATGTCCAATATGTCAGCTTTTTTGGGTTGGGCTTATACTTTGTGAAACGTGTCTGAACAACCCTGCGGGGTTGCTCTTCTAGAAGTGATTGGCTGCATGGAACCTCCCATTTGCTCATTGGCGATCCATCCAAGCAAAACCCAGCGAGTTAACCCCTAACCCTTGGGGGGCCATGTCAAGACTCGGATCACTCTCAGAAACCCCCTCCTTGCCGCTTTGGCTTGCGGATTTCAATGCAGAAACCAATCCCAACTACAAAACTACCAATCAGAGGCCCGAAGTAGCCAAACTGGTGCAAACCCTAAGCTGCTCCAAATAGGACCCAATGGTAGGTCGTTGCGTTATGAGCCAAACTGGTCCAAACCGAAAAACCTGACGACCATAGGTGGCCTTTTGGAAAAATAGATGGGTTTCCCTGGTCAATGGAACAAAACCCATCTAAACCAGTGGAACCCATCTATTTTTAACCCAGTGCTCACCTAAAAATGACCCCAAAACCTGACGACACGCCGAGTCCCGGAACGCAACAACGGGATCTGACGGATCTGACGGATCTGACGGATCTGACGGATCTGGCTGTGGGTCCAAAATAGGTACCCGAAATGGAACCCTGGCAACTGGAAACATGGACCAAAACCTGTGGTTCTCTGGTGGTTTAATTTTGACCCATACCCCTCCGGCGCCGCGGGCAGCGAAGCCCACAGCTGGGCCTTCCAGGCTCTGAAGCCCGGCACTGGCCATGTCCATCAGCGGATGCACCGCACTGCTCCAGGACCTGAGCAGCGCATTTGTCGGGGGTCCGGTAGAAGGTGCTTAGAAAAATCCCGGCAGATGTGGTTTATTTGTTTCTTCAAAACAATCGTTACTGGAAAAAGCCGGCATCGGGTTTTATAGGAAGGTTGCTTGTACATATCTAACAAAAAGCCGGTGCATGCGACGTGTTTGCTGGAGTTGTTGGTAGCTGCCACACGTTTTTGTTCCTCTGGAAATAGGCCTAGCCATGAACTGGCCTTAAGAGGCTGCCAAACCAGAAAAAAACAAATGAACAACTAGTTTGAAAGGAACATGGCAAGCATCAGACATGCCCCCCCCAAACCACAGCGGGGAAAGGGAGGGCTTAGTTTGGGTGGGTTCATTAAAGGATACAGCTGTATGTTTTGCAATGATTCCAAAATCTGAATTCAGGGATCAAGCAAAGAACTATCATGGTGAGTTCGATGGAGACAAATAAACAAAACGTAATGGTCCGTGGTGCAAGTGATTGAAACACCTCGATTCAAAACCGTGAAAATGGGTCCCGTGAATAGCGGTGCATTGGTCGATTGCCAAAAGTCAGACTTCTCGCAGGATATGAGGCACGGTCAAACATATACGTGCTTGCCCAGAAGGACACATACCGTGAGTTGTTGCGGGAAGTTTGTGAGCCATGCCCCTCCCAAACGTTCACCACAAGGTACGTCACAAATCCCATGATGTGTCCAAACATGGAAGTGTCCGTGTTTCCAAACATGGAAGTCCCAAAACAGAAAGACCCAAAACAGTTGAGGTGGGATGCTGTCACAATTATCAGCTTTTAAACAGTCCCCAATCTTGGCCACAACAACACAATAGGGAGCATGTTTTACAAAAATGCAGACCAGCAGAAACCGTTTTTCAAATGGCCGCACCAAAAGATGTATCAACAAGTTCAACCCAGATTCGCAAGATCCTACAATATTTTTTAATGTGGCCAAACTGGGCAATTGTCAAAATAGGGGACCCCACCAAGTGGTGGTGTTCTTTTTTGGTTCCCTTTGGACCATGGTGAACACATGCCAAAACAACAAAAACACACAGCGTTCATTCCCTTCAAAGGGTCCAGTAAATCAAAAGAGGGCTCCTCTAGACGTCCCGAATCAACTCATGTGTGGTTGGTCCGTGCTTGGGTGTGTTTGCTCGTGTATGCGTGTAATGTGATTGGGTTTGTATGTGTGTGTGTGTATGTGTAGGTGTGGGTGAACCTGCATTTAGGATTTTGAAGTGTTTGTGTGTGTGTGATAGTTTGTGCGTCTGCTTGTGTGTGTGGGTTTGGCTGTATTATTTTTGCTGTGTGCACGTCATTGTGTTTATGCGTGTTTGTGTGTGTGTGTGTGTTTATGTCTGGGGCTTCACTGAATTGTGTGTATAGCTGTGTGGCTGTCTGTCGGTCTCTGTGTGTTTTTGTCTGTGTGTGTTGCGCGCGTATGTATGTACGTATAAATATATGAAAGTATGAATGTATAAATGTATGTATGTACGTATGTATGTATGCATGTATGTATGTATGTATGAATGAATGTATAAATGTATGAATGTATGTGTGTATGTATGTATGAATGTATGTATGTACGTATGTATGCATGAATGTATGAATGTATGAATGTATGAATGTATGTATGTATGTACGTATGTATGTATGAATGAAATAATGTATGAATGTATGAATGTATGTATGTACGTATGTATGTATGTATGTATGAATGAATAAATGTATGAATGTATGAATGTATGTGTGTATGTATGTATGAATGTATGAATGTATGAATGTATGTATGTATGAATAAATGTATGAATGCATGACTGTATGAATGTGTGAATGTATGAATGTACGAATGTATGAATGTATGAATGTATGAATGTATGAATGTATGCATGTCCGTATGTATGTATGTGTGTATGCATATACGTATGTATGTATGTATGTATGTATGTGTGTATGAATGTATGTGTGTATGTGTGTATGCATGTATGTATGTATGTATGTATGTATGCATATATATGTGTGTGTATGTATGCATGTATGAATGTATAAGTGTATGAATGTATGTATGTATGTACGTGTGTATGTGTGTATGTATGTGTGTATGTATGTGTGTATGTGTGTATGTGTGTATGTGTGTATGTGTGTATGTGTGTATGTATGTATGTATGTATGTATGTATGTACGTATGTATGTATGTATGTGTGTATGTGTGTTTGTGTGTGTATGAACGTATGAATGCATGTACGTATGTATGTATGCATGTATGTGTGTATGTGTGTGTATGTATGTATGTATGAATGTATGCATGTATGAATGTATGTATGTATGTATGTGTGTATGATTGAATGTATGAATGTATGAATGTATGAATGTATGAATGTATGAATGTGTGTATGTATGTATTTTATGCGTATGTGTATGTGTATGTGTGTATGTCTGTATGTATGTATGCATGCATGTATGTACGTATGTAATGTATGTGTGTATGTGTGTATGTGTGTATTTGTGTGTATGTATGTATGTATGAATATATGAATGTATGAATGAACGACTGTATGTATGTACGTGTGTATGTGTGTATGTATGTGTGTATGTATGTGTGTTTGTGTGTGTATGTATGTATGTATGTATGTATGTATGTATGTATGTATGCATGTGTATATGTATGTGTGTGTATGTATGAATAAATGTATGAATGCATGAATGTATGAATGTATGAAAGTATACATGTATGAATGTATGAATGTATGGATGTATGAATGTATGTATGTATGTGTGTGTATCTGTGTATGTATGTATGTATGTATGTGTGTATGCATGTATGTATGTATGTGTATGTGTACGTATGTATGTATGTATGTATGTGTGTATGTGTGTGTGTATGTGTGTGTATGTGTGTATCTATGTATGTATGAATGTATGTATGAATGTATGACTGTATGAATGTGTGAATGTATGAATGTGTGTATGTATGTATGTGCTTATGTGTGTATGTATGTGTGTATATATGTATGTGTGTGTGCATGTATGTACGTATGTACGCATGTATGTACGCATGTATGTATGTACGTATGTACGTATGTATGTATGTATGTATGTGCGTGTGTATGTATGTATGTATATATTTATGTATTTACGTATCCCTGTATGTATGGATGGATGTATGCATGAGGGTATGTACGTATGTCGTATGTAAGTATCTATGTAGGTAGCTAGATAGATAGGTAGTTGTGCCGGCAGGTGGTGTCAAGGTAGGTAAGTATGTATGTAGGTAGGTATGTATGTTAGGTAGGTGTGCGGGTAGGTAGGTAGGTAGGTAGGTAGGTATGTAGGCGGGTATGTACGTATGTCGTATGTAGGTATGTATGTGGGTAGGTATGTAGGTAGGTAGGTAGGTAGGTAGGTAGGGCGGGAGGTATGCAGGTAGGTAGGTGGGTTGCTAGGTATGTAGGTAGGTATCAAGGTCTGTAGGTCTGTAAATATATAAATCTACGTGTGTAGGTATGTATGTAGGTATGTAGGCATGTAGGTATGTACATCAATGTAAAGAATGCATCTATTGCGTGTGTCGTGCGTGTTTGTGTGCTTGTGAGTGTGTGTGCTATCTGTGAGTCTTTCTGTGTAGTAGTCTTGTGTCCCTGTGAGCATGTGCCTGTAATATGTGTGTGTGTGTTGTCTGTGTGTCTCTGCGAGTGTGTGTCTCAATCTAGAACATGCCCAGCAGAATCAAGTTAGACGACACCAGGCCAAAATCTCAATCTGAGGCGCTTGTCAAAGAGCGCGTCCACCGTCCTCGACACTGCAGTGGCCGTGATGTGCAAGGCGTCGTGATTGGCTGCCTGCTGGGCAATGAAATATGAACATCTCATAGAGACTTCGGCCTAATCGGAAAAACTACACCTCATTGGAAAGAGGAACCACCGCTGATTAGCATCGCCATCCGTGTACATGAAGTTGACATGACCAAAATGCTGCTCACACTGCGGGAAGGACCAAAATTCCCAAGGGCCGTCATCCTGCGTGAGATCGCAACCTGAAATCGTTATTTTGCCGGCAAATGTCGCAGGTGAACGTCTTTGGCTGAGTTACCCGTTTGCAGTAGGTAGGACTCCTACTTATAACCCCTGAGTAGGGCTCCCACTCGGCCGGAAGATTCTTCCAGGAAACTCAGCGAATTCCTTTATCACATTCCGCATCGGTCAAATTGCCCCAGAAGCCGTCAAATCCACCCTAGAAACCGGCAAACTCCCCCAAAAAGCTGCCCAGGGCCCAGCCCTATTCAGCCCATTCAAATCAAACCCAGGCCGTAATTCCACCCTCTAGTCACACTGCGGCTCTCGTTCTAGCCCTTGAAGCCATGTGGAAACGCGCGAACGTGCACCCACCATATATGTTGGACACTAGCTCACGCATTTCGGAGCCGACTCACTCACTCCCTCAAAAAGACAACGTTTCAAGGCAAACCCAAACACAGTACCTCAACGCAAAGCAAAAGAATACCGGCCGAGGCGGGCAGAGCGAAGCGTTTACAATTCCAGGGTACCAAGGGACAAGGATTTGGATTCCATGGTCATGATGGTCAAAACTCCCTATGCCCATGGTCCTGGCTGAATGGGAATCCTTTGGCTGTTCAATCAGGTTGGAGCCTCCTAAACCCAAAGCCGATCATTTCATAAAACCACTCACGGTTTTAACGCACGTCGAAGCATTGAACGCGCCTGCATGGACTCCGAGGCATGTTTATGCTTCCTCAGCCGTGGCCCGCGGCAACGATGCCGCGGCAACGAGGACGATTGTTTCGTCTTGACCAGACTTACACCTCCTGCCACAAGTTGACGTGTTTCATCGGTGCAAGGAAAATGATGGAAACCCAACAGGACAAGGGCGCAACGGTTAAGCTTAACGATGGTAAGCCCCCTTTTTCAGGGAGCCTTCCCAGGGATGCCCGTAGGGACTGGATAAGGCCTAAGCTCTGTTCAACAAAGCAGACCGCTGGCATGGCCTCAACTTGCAACCCTCGAACCCAAAGTTTGACTTTGGGTTGGAGACCCATGGATTTGTTCAGATTTCAGAAAACCCTCACAATCAACGGGCTCACCCCTTTGCAATGCGGTCTCTTCACGAGGCGAAAGCGCGAAAGCGAATCCCGCGATCTCCGACTCGAGCCATTGGGCAGGAAGGGGAAGCCACCGCCTTGGCCCTGCCTTTGAAGCTATGGCCCCGGAAAAGAATGAGTGACTAACACGAATCAACTGGATGAACAAAATAACAAACCTGAATTAGGCAATCCACACGGGCCTTCATAAGTGAGCTTTGGACCAAATCCCCGCAAACGGATGGCTTTCAAGCGAGCCCGCTACGGTTTTTGGGCTTGCCCCTAGTTGAGTTCCTTGAGCATCCATCACCTGCCCTCTAATTGCTGGGTTTGGGGGTGGTTTCCCATTCCCACGACTCAAGGGTTCAAACCCCAAAACCTCACCGGTTCCCTGATCCATTGGCCTCAGAACTTTAGGCCCTGACCGGCCCATGGCTCCCCTGGCCACCAGCACACGACTGCTTCGCCGCCCAAAACACAGAGCTTCACGGTTTCTCGTTAAAAAGAAAGGACCGCAAAAGCACCAAAACACCTTGGTTGCGGGAACGCCGTAACGTAGCCAGCCCCATGACCACATTTCCAGTGTAAACAGACTTCCTTGGTACGGTATCACAGCAACTGGCCCTAGAATCCAATGTTCCACGACCACACTAGAAAACAATTGAACATCCAGTAATTCGGCAAGATTGAACAGTGCCCTTTCCAGGTTCCGCTTTCCGCTCTTGATGCAGGTGCCCAAAACCCACTGCTGCACTCCAAATGGTAAGTTTTGCATCAACCACAAGGCCAGGTGAGAACCGAACCAACAGAAACGTGACCAAAAAGGGAACAGAAGAAAAAGGTGCCCCTATAGGTAGGCCACCTAGGTGGGACCTCTTCTGGGTAGGCCACTTGTATTGGTGGGACCCTTATATAGGCCGATATTGAGTTCTGATTCAGGTGGGCCCTCAGTGGGTACTCGACTGGACTGCCATGCGGCTGGATCTTGCGGAAGCAGTGCTCGGAGACCAGCTGACCTCAGTGAGCCCCTCGGATATTCATTGGCGTTGCTATTGCTCTTGTTGTTCTTGTCGTTGTTGTTGATGATAATGATGATAATGATGATAATGATGACGTTGTTGCTATGAATGTTGATTATGATGATGAGAATGATGACATCGTTGCTGCTGGTGATGACGATGATGACAATGATGACGATGATGAAGATGTTGATGATGTTGATGATGACGATGATGACGATGATGACGATGATGACGATTATGATGATGATGATGATGATGATGATGATGATGATGATGATGATGATGATGATGATGATGACAATGATGGCGATCATGATGATGCTGATGCTGATGCTGATGCTGATGCTGATGATGACGATGACGACGACGATGACGATAACGATAACGATAGCGATAACGATAACGGTGTTGTTGTTGTTGTTGTTGTTGTTGTTGTTGTTGTTGTTGTTGTTGTTGTTGTTGTTGTTGGTGGTGGTGGTGGTGGTGGTGGTGGTGGTGGTGGTGGTGATTATGATTCTTTAATGTTTTCAGGCTACCCTCTTGGCACAACCATAAACATAGGGTATATGACGGCCCGTGAAATATTTCCTCTGAGCTCTACGCTGGGATACATGCTCCAAATATAACCAACTCTTCACGAAACACCACCTACTCTTTCTTGCCTGACCCTCAATAAGGCTTCTCACCTCATCGAGCGCTTGCATGTTGCCAGCTCAGCTTTTGTTCCAACAAAAAGCATGTTTCATTATGGACCATCCGAACGTGGAAACTCAATTCACAAAGACTTGTTTCGGCTAAATCCGGGGCTGAACACTTCCCCCTTGTCCCGATGGCCCCACTCATCATGACTCAATTTAGCTTGTTGAGGTATCCCACACCCATATTCATATTAATAAACCGGGGTATATTAATCTGGGGTCAACTTTTTGGATTTCTGCTTTGAGGATACCCGTTTTTTGGTGGGTTTGAGGAGACACCAAAAGGAAACCATTTTTTTTTGGCGGTGCAACCTAAAAACAGACACACCCATACGAGTCGCAATCAAGCCTGGTATTGGAATGGTGTACCCAAAACCATGTAAAGAATTAGGAAGGCGGCGAAGGCACCCATTTATGCTTGGGATTCTCCCTTACTAACTTGATCGTGGCTCACTTTGTTTGTACCACACCTGTTCTAAATATTCAGGCCCTTAGGAACTACCACAAAACCAGGTTGACCTTCAACATCCTGAATGACATGCGGGGGGAACATTTGTTTTTGTCCGGAAAAAAAGAGAGGCTAACCTCCCGCCAGTAAACAGCCGACACTTGACAGGGAAATGGTCCCTTTAAAAGAAAATGGGTCTTCCAGGACCCCCCCCCCCCGAACGTCAAGTTCCATGTTGATGAATGGGAGGGTAAACTGGATCCACTGAAGTTACATGCTGCAAATTACCCGAGCCGAGCAGCGTGGCTTAAGGGGAACCTCCCAAAATTAATTTCGAGAAGCCGTAAGCGTGTTCACTTCAAGGATGCAGTTAAAGGGCAGTTGGCAAAGGTCGAACCAAAGAGCAACCCGGCAAAGGAGCCGCTTGTGGTTGAACATGAAGGAGACCAAAAAGGCCAAACGGTTAACGCCGTTTGTTACAAATCTGCAAGCCTTGCCCTAGCAATGCTTTTTCGGGTAGGGATTGGTTGTTCCCTGTCCAAGAACTCTTGAGTCCAGCAAGATTTCAGGTCAAAGGGTCCAAAACGGCACGCTCAACCCTCCCCCGCGGGTTGCTCAAGAAATTGCTCGTTTACTGCCATCCCAGATTGGATGTCCAATATGTCAGCTTTTGTTGGTTGGGCTATATACTTTTTTGGTAGAGAAGCCCCAACAGGCAAGTATAGACTTTATAAAACGTGTTTGAACAACCCTGCGGGGTTGCTCTTCTATAAGTGATTGGCTGCATGGAACCTCCCATTTGCTCATTGGCGATCCATCCAAGCAAAACCAAGCCAGTTAACCCCTAACCCTTGGGGGGCCATGTCAAGACTCGGATCACTCTTCTCAGAAACCCCCTCCTTGCCTCTTTGGCTTGTGGATTTGACATGGGAAACCAATCAAAGGCCCGAAAAAAGAAGAACAAAAAAGAAGAGAAACAAAACGGTTCAAAGCGCACGCAAAAAGAGAATCTTCTGGGCTGCGCGCCAGGAAGCCAGGCCATGGACTCCTCAGCTGCCTTGCCGTGGCTTCGTTTTGTGATCGGTTGTTGGGCTGGTGGTTGGTGGTGGGTGGTGGGTGAGTAGTTTGGTTGGTGTTTCGTTGCTTGGTGGTTGATTTTGGTTTGTGGTTGGTGGTGGGTGGTGGGTGGGTGGTGGGTGGTTGGTTTTGGTTGGCGGTTGGTGGTCGGTTTTGCTTGGTGTTTGGTGGTTGGTGGTTGGTTTTGCTAAGCGGTTGGTGGTTGGTGGTTGGTTTTGCTTGGCGGTTGGTGGCTGGTTTTGCTTGGTGTTTAGTTGGTGGTTGGTGGTGGGTGGGTGGCTTTGGTTGGTGTTTCGATTTCGGTAGTTGGTGATTGGTTTTGCTTGGTGCTGGTTTTGGTTGGTGGTTGGTGGTTGGTGTTTTGTTGCTGTTTGGCGGTTGGTGGTTGGGTTTGGTTGTTAGGTGGTTGGTTTTGGTGAGTTCGTGGTTGGTTGGTGGCTGGTTGTGACTGGCTCTATGTTTTTTCAAGGACGAGTACCGTCTTTTGGGTTAGGATAGGAATCCTTATTTTTTGTCAATCATCTCCATGACCATCCTTACCAACCCCAAGGGTCGGATGGCTTGGGGGTACCCTTAGGGTTAGTTCTAAGGTAACCAACAGCACATGCATTGCAAGGAAAAGGGACCCAGCCCCTCCAATTGGTGGCTTGTCATTCAAGTTTGCTTTTGAAAGCAGCCCTAGAACGTAATCCTCAAAAGAATGGCCGACTACCCCAAACCACTGCCAAGGGCGAATCTGTGTACATATCCCTGACAAAATGTCTGTGGTTGTGCATGGGTAACCTGCGTAGTTTCCTTTTTCCCAGCCTCCACCCCCAAACCACTGTTTAAGGGCAAAGATATCTTAAGTATGTATATATATATATACATACATCCCCTTCAAACCAACCATGTCCTTCCACTACCTCCAAATCACTGCCGAGGGCAAATCGGTGTGTATATCCCTATGGTTGCAACCCGGCCATGTCCTCAACTCCTGGCAGCTGGCAGCTCCCCCAAAACGCCCAAAATTCGGAGACCCATCCGCGCGGAGAGGGCGGCTCCGACTCCGACCTCGCCTGCTTCTCCATCCGCTCCGCCAGGGCACGTAGCGCCTGGGAAAAGGGTGGCGGCTGAGAGCTTCCTCAGCCAATTGGTGGCTTGGAGCTCGGGGGTTCGGTGAAGGGGGTGGTTGAAACCCTGATTGTGGATGTTCAAAGGACAAAATGAAAACAAAAACACCACTGGAAGCCTGGGAACCGAACACATCACTCCCGAACACATATTGACCCGCACTCCCCCCTCGACTGCTTTTCGGACACCTTGACCCCTGCAATCAGCCTGGATTCGGGGATGTTTCTCCGCATTGAATGCCCATGTAAGAGGAATCGACACACCCTATCACATCCCCAAACCTTGAAACCACTGGTGATACGACGTACATACATATGTATGTATATATATATATAAATAATATGTAGTACCTTGTCATGGCTTGGCGGTAGTGTAAACCCTAGAGTCCAGAAAGCGCAAAAGAACACCTGTGTCACCAGCTGAATCAATACATCGAGAAGGAACAGCCTCAGGGGCCGAGGGCCGAGGTTCAGAAGGAGCTTTGAGGGTTTCTCAAAATGGTGCACCTCTTTTGGATGCTTTGCTTTGCGAACCCCCCAACGTATGATAGATATGTACATATATACGTACATATATGTACATATATATATATATATGTACACATATGTATATATACAGCGGTGCCACTGTACAAGAATCTGTTGGTTAAGAATTTGAGATACTGGGCATCCCGGTAGCCTCCCCCAAAACAACGCTAGCCAATGAAGAATTTGAGTGTCACTGGCCGTTCACCTTAATTTCTTATCCTGACAGCTGCTGCAACTTTTCCAGACAGGGCTGAGCTAATCAAGCAGCAAGTATTTTGCTGGTAAAAACTTCACACCTTCCGTCATCGTAAGAACCTTGGCCACGCCGTCTTTGTCGACCGCCTCGCAAACCCCTTTCAGGTCAACTGAGCCATAGCTAAGAGGGATATCGAGGCTTTTGCCGACAAACTTGACAAAAGCCTTAGGCGTTGTCCGGCCCTTTGCCTTTGCCTTTGGCTTTGCCTTGGCCTTGGCGGAAGCAGGCTGGGGCTTGGCGCTGGAGCTGGAGCTAGAAGAGCTAGAAGACCCGCTCGAAGTGGACGAAGAGCCATCGCTCTCCTCACCATCAAGCTCAAAGCCTGGTTGCCCGGTGTAGATCTTTCTGGCCTGCTGCGGCCACAACGGGCCCATGCGCTGCCCAGGCGGCCATGGCACATATGGCTTGCCCAAGCCTTCAACTCGCATGTCTTTGTCTGTGTGCCCATCTCTGGCTATCAAGCACCCAGTTTTCAATCAGTACTCTCGCCGGCCACGATTGTACTTCTCGTCTGTTATCTCACGGTACGCGCTCCCGACTAAGCGGGTCATCAGCAGCTGTTCCTCCTTTGCCTGGGAGGGCTAATTTGACAATAGATCTCAATTTCTTATTTGGTAGGTGGGGGAACCCAAAAACTTGCAAGGATGAGAAACTCAGTGTCTAGCTTTCTACATTGCTCCTCCCGATAAGCAATCCCAGACACTCAATTTCTTATGTTGTAGGTGGGGGAACCCAAAAGCTTGCAAGGATAAGAAACTCAGTGTCTAGCTTTCTACATTGCTCCTCCCGGTAAGAAATCCCAGACACTCAGTTTCTTATTTTGTAGGTGGGGGAACCCAACAATTTGAAAGGATAAAGCGCATGCGCACACAGACAAACACCCAGCTCCTGCAACTTGCCACCGTCATATTTCGCCTGAAGGTCAGGGTCTGAGTCCAAAAGATTCTCCAGGCCCCGCTTCATCAAGGCCTTGAAATGGGCTGCATAGCCCTGGTCCACTGGCTGCCACCGGTGCGTCAACCCGGCTGGGCCAAAGAAGCAGTTCACTGTGTGCAAGCGCAAGAAGCAAGCAAGGTGGGGGCTCCTCTGAGCTTCCAGGTTGTCCAGGAGCAGCAGCGCAGGCCGCTGGCCACATGTTTTGGCGCGATATGGGAGAAACTCTGTCTCGTAGAAAGCCTTCAATGTCTCAGTGTCCAGCCAAGCGTTTCTTTGAAAGAGCACCCTCACGTCGGGATCATAATGCTCTGCCTCCTTGTCCAAAACCTGGCCAGCACCCTTGAAAATCACGGTGGGGCGCATCAGGGGCATAGCATCGTCTCCGCACAAGGTCAGGTGCAAGCTCGCCATGCGCTTGCCTTCCTTGTAGCCAGTCAAAGCAATTCGGCCTTCTTCGCGCTCCTCCCTGGAAGCATATGTGGTGTCCCGAAGCAGGAAAGAATCTATGCCGGTTGTGTCGCAGTTGAAGCGCGTGTGTGGCGGGTACTTGCCCCAGACACGATCTTCCGTTGGAGCTGCCGGCTGGTTGACCAAGTCAGGGCCCCGGAGCACAAGCTCTCGGTAGTAGAGGTGCCAAGCACGCAAAGTGTGCGCAGCCTCGTCAGGCTTGTCTTTGCGCTTGCAGGTTCTGCGCCTCAGCTTCCAGCCGTGCAAGGCTGTGAAGTTGGAAGCCCGCTGCTTGGAGGCTGTGAAGGCTTTTCCTCGCCAGTGCAGCGGCGGTAGGCCCTGCTCCTCGCGGTTCTTCAGGAACAGCCTAGCCATTCTGCAGATCCATCCACGTCCAACTGCACGTTGCTGCTGCCTACGCTTCTGCATGGCCGACAGAAGCTCTTTCTCAAGCTCCACCCACCCAGGCCCTCTAACAGGCTGCCGAAAGTACACTTTCTTGAAAATGTCTTTGCGACCACAAACAGCTAAGAGGCGCTCTTCGGCAGCACGCTTCGTGATCTCGTCTGACTTCTTCAGCCACTTCCCCAAAAGGGACGGATTTATCTTATTGGCCTCAGCTGCCGTCTTCTGCGGTGTTGGATCATGGTGTTCCTGCAGGTTCCAAAAGCTGTGAAGGCAATCCGACTTGAAGGTGAAAGAGTGCTGCTGCCTCGTGTCCAAACCTTTGGTCAGCTTGAGCTGCCCGTCCTTCCTCTTTTTGCCTCTGCCTGAACGTGCCTCTCCTGTCTGGGTTTGTATAGCCGTTGGGTGAAAAGGGCTACCTCAAAAACAACAGGGTCCTCACTTCTTATTTGGACAAAAGGGATCCGCAACCCAAAAAAGGCCCCCGATAAGAAACTCAGTGTCTCAGTTTCTTATTTTTGAGAAAGGGTCCGCAGCTCAAAAAGGTCCCCGATAAGAAACTCAGTGTCTCAGTTTCTTATTTTTGAGAAAGGGTCCGCAGCTCAAAAAGGTCCCCGATAAGAAACTCAGTGTCTCAGTTTCTTATTTGGACAAAAGGGTCCGCAGCCTCAAACGTTTCTTACTGCAAAGAAGCACGGCCTCAATCAACGTTGGGCAAAACCCAAGGAGACCCGCGGTCCTTGCGTCTCCGCGGTCACTTCTGCATCCTCTGCTATCTCTGCTTCCACTTCCACTGGCTCAGACGCTTCTGGCTCAGATGCGGGGGTGTCTCGCTGATGCCTGCAGCCTTGGCATCTTGAAGAAGCGCTTTGTGCTTAAATCGCTCATGGCCAGCCCGGCCTTGGGCAGAGAGGAAACTTTCAGAACACCACCTGCATGGGTGCGAAGCAGCATCAGCCTGCGCTGCCGCAGGGGTGGCTACCTGAACTTGTTTGCCATGCGCAGTGGTCAGCCGACAACTGCCGTACCGGTGTAGTGAAACTTGCCGGGATGATGCCGAGGATTCTGCAATCTCACTTACCTCCACTGATCCGGACACGTCTGATTCCTGACTTCTTCCTTCCAGCAAGGCCCACGGATCCAAGCCATCATGGGCTGCCATGGGCTTGTAGCTACATTGAGTGCGGTTGGGCTGCGGGCGAAAAAGTAACCTGACAAATGCAAACATGACTGCTGGTGTAAGAATCTGCGAAGAACCTCAGTGTCACTAGCGCCAAATGTCCCATATACCTGCTTGGAAAAAACAATAGCTGCCTAAGAATGTGAGTGACACTGGCCAAATCCTTACAAATTCTTATCCAGCGGATGGACTGTATATATATATATATATATACATGTGCCCCCAACTTGTGGAACAGAAATGAGCTCGCTCCCATGCTCCAGAGTTTTTGGAGGATCCACTCCGGGAATATAGAGCGGGGTGGCCCTTCGGATGTGCAGTTGGGTGAAAGTAGTTAGCACCCGTCCAACGCAAGGTGTCTTTTTTTGAGGGTCCCACTTTTTTTGGTGGCCGTAAAGGGAAACCAAGAGGGAAAACCACAATTTTGGGGATTCCAAGAAAAAGACAGACTCATATGATCCCCCAACTTGGTGTAGGGATGGTTTAGGGTTGGATTGTTGGAGAACGGTCGGCTTGGGGTTGGCTTGGGCAATCTAGAAGGGTTGATTTGGGATGCGTCTTGCGAATGCTCTGCCCACCCTGTGGCTTGCTTGCATTTGCTTCGGTCTTAGTTGGTTTGCTTGCTCATGAAATGAAGCTTGGAAGGAACTGCCGTGGCACGGACACCAGTTGAAAGCTAGCTCCCTGACAGAAGACAAAAGAAGAATAGGGTTCGGGGGGATATCAAGGGGGAGGGGGAGGGGGACGAAGGCGTTGGAGGGCGGAGGACGTATTATACGTCACACATGAGATTGCACCATCTTCTTCCCGCCCTTGCCCTTCACAGCCTGGGCAACGAGAAAGCCCAACTGGTCCAGAGACCACATCAGCAGCTGATCCACCATCTTCAAGACCTGCGCTCTGCAACAGGAGACACTTGGGCGCATGGTTTGTTGAGGGTACTCTTGCGCAGGTTGCTTTAAAGGGTAACCAAAAGGCACACCGGCCTTTCTTGATATTTTCTTTTTTCCTTTTTTCATTGGGGGGGGGGGGTGAGGGGCTATATTGACACAAACCCACTTCAGCCCTAGGAAAGCTCCGCCAACTCCCTGATCAAACCTGGCCCTTGAGATCCCAATCGAATCGATGCAACACAAGAGCCAGGGCTACGTACTCCAAGTGGGCATATAAACAGAATGCCTCAACGCCCCGTGCAAAAAGCTTGACTTGCTGCTCTCTAGTACCGAGCGTAGAGTTTTTTCCAAGTTCTCAAGATCCAGCCAAGCCGAACTCAAGGGACCAAATCAATTTCTATCCTAATTCTTTGATCACCCTCGAGACGCTCAGATCAAACCTGCTCAATCAACCAAATAACCAGCGAGAGGTCCTAAATGACACCCTTCTCCCCATGTTTAAGGATTCTATTCAGAAAAGCCCAGGAAAAAAAAACAGTTTCTGAATAAACATATCCCCGTGTAGGTTCCCCCGTCAGCTTCCGCATCCGAGACATCTACGAACCAGGGTTCAACCCCCCAAACCACAAGTTGGGGGGGTCCAACTTGAGTTTCAACACAGTAATGGCAACCTGGGATGAATCAACCTGGTGAATTCCTAGGGCATGTGTCCAATAAGCGATCCGGATTCCGTCTTCAATGGAAAACCCACTCACGATCATACGGTATGCAAGCATGCTATGTTTTGGTCACATTAATAAACTAACCTTGAAACCCAAACCTCGTAAGGGTCCCTCATGCGCCTTCCACTAAGAACATGCGGCCAAAAGACAAGGGCGGCTCTGATGATGGCAAAACAAACAACTTCTCGATCTACCATAGGGTTGCCAAGAAAACAGAGAGACAGGCAAAGGCTCATCTTCCTCTTGCGCTCCTATAGGGTACTGGTAGATATACAAGTATGTGTATATATATATATAGACATAACATCTACACAAATTAACACCAGTGAAATCGATCCCCGTTCAGCCAAGCTGACCTAAATGCAGGTTGTTTTTTGTAGGCTCCACACCTACGTTTTCCTTTGTCGAGGAAAGACCAGGAACAACCATATTCACTCTACCCTTAAATATAAAATCGTTTTGGAGACCCCAGAGCTGACTGTAAGCCTAGTTACGCTATAGGTTGCTTCAAGCCTCCCCTGAGCAAAAGGTCGATCACCTTTTGTAGGTATTGGACAGCCTTTCGTGTTCAAAGGGTTTAAGGTGCGATGCGGTCACAACGACCGCCAATGTGTTTTTGGGGCTAAACGGGTAGCCAACAGGAGGCAAAGCTACAAAGCCTCTTTGGAGGAGATCGCTTTCCAGGTGCTCCATATACATGGCTGTGGGTCAAAACCAATGGTACCATTTTGGGGCAGGTGCACCAACCATTTTAGAACCTATTTTAGTGGTTGGATTGGGATATTCACTGGGGGCTAACCGGGCTTTTGACCCATGGCCACATACCCTTTAGGCTGGTTCCAGTTTCGATGGAAACGAAACCGGTGCGGGGAACCACCCATGTGTGTGTTGTGTTGAGGGTGCCGCTTCGGCAGGTTAGCGTTTTCAGGGAAGCCAAAGGGCAAATCCCCTTAAAAATAAAGAAATAAATATATATATATATATATCCCCCGATTTTGACGCACCACGTGCCGGAAGATCCTTCAAACCCGCCTTCTTGAAGGTTTTGGTCAGCGGCGCCTGACAGTTGAGGGTCTGAATTTACGACTCTTATGAACCTGGAGGGATCCCTGACAAACCCACGGAGCTTCGCTTGCTGGCAGGATTCTGAAAAGAACACACTACACTCCGTCGCATTCTGAGTTGATTGGCCAAAACATCAAAACATGATTTGTTTACCGCTCTGATGGTTTTCCCGCAAAACAAAACAAGCAACAACAAACAACTGAAGTCCAGAAACTTCGTGAGCTCCAATTTCAGATAAAAACGAAGGGATCCACAATGCAACGCCTGCCAAGTGAAAAAGTGAAACAGGCCTTGCCAAAGACCAACAACACCCAGTGGTCTTGGCTGTGCAACAGATGTTCAGCCATGACCACTGGCCCGGGAGAGCCCGAGGATAATCCCATAAGACCTTTTAGGCGTTAGACATGGTAGTCATTTTGCGTAATTGGTGGAACAAGACATGGACCCTCAGAAACTTGGGGCCGAAGGTTGCGAAACCAAAGCCTCGGTGCGGTTCTGACTTGCCCAAATAGGTGGTCAAACCACTAAGCGCCACGAGTGCTCAGGCCATGTCCCGACCTCAGAGGGCTGGGTAGTCTAGGGTGGTAAGGGTAGGGTGATGCCGCCATGGACGCGGCAATATGCGGCAGTGACAGGCGGCTTGCATTCGCTGCAGAGATGAGCATGCTTGTCCTTGCAGCGGTGCGCGGAATCAGACTTTTGTGTGTGACACAGCCGCTTGCCAGCCTCTATCAAACTACCCTTTCGTTGCGCACGGTAGATTTGCCGTTGCGCCTAAAAGGTCATGGCGACCACAGGCCTAGAAGCACTCGCCCTGGTCCCAAGTCCAGGGGCGGGCACAATCACATGATGCCACGCTGTAGCCGCGGATTTGTGCTGTTGTTTGCATTATTGTTTGCCCAGCATGTCCCACAGGCAGCAGCCTCTGTACCCACACAGCAGTTTGGCATTCATTTTGAGCCCGTTGGCGTGAGGGTTGATGCACCAGCCACGGGTGCATCGGGAGCTCCTTCACCTGAAGGGGCGAAGCCACGTGGCGGCGGACATAGCCACGGCCGTGTCCAGAACCCAGCTCCCACATGGAGCTTTACCAAAAAGCGCGCATATCGCCGCGCCAGGCGACGTGCGGAACACAGCCTCCTTGGAGGCACCTACTTGAAAGGCCGCTGGATGACGGCGGAATCCTTAGGCACCATCAAGAAGCAGCAGGCCATTCCATTGCCGACTCTGCCAGGGCCACGTGGCCCGCCAGGTCGCCCGCCGCACAAGGCCAGACTCCGCATCTTGACTGTCAATGTGGGGGGATTGTGCACAGCCACGTATGACATCTTTCGTCAGTGGCTGCAGGAGCAGGACCAAGCGGACATCGTGGCTTTGCAGGAAACCCATCACGGGTTAGGCCGAGCATCATGGTCAGACACCGGCTGGCATGTTGTGTCCTCGGCCGACCCCCAGCATCGCTTTGCAGGAGTGGCCATCTTTGTGTCTGCTAGAATTGCCACAGAGGCCCAAATTCGCTTCAGGGCTGTTATTCCGGGGAGGCTCATACAGGTGTGCTTGCACAGGGGGCAGGGACGGCAAGAATCCCAGCTCCACCTTGTGAATGCTTACCAATGGGCTTGGAGCTTCGATTCTCAGCAGAAACAAGTGGAAGCCAAGCGGCACCAATTCTGGGAAAAATTGCATGTCCTGCTTCAGGCCATACCTGTTCGGCACGGTCTGTGCCTCATGGGAGACATGAATACACCGGCAAGGGCCACAGGTAAGCATGTTGGAACGGGGGTGCCGGTTCCCATTTACACCCCGCCAGATGTTGACTCTTTTGTCGGAGTAGTCTGTCAGAATGACCTGTGCCTCCTTAACACGTGGCAGAAGGCCAGGGGCGGCCGTGCCCATACCTTTGTGCGTGATGGAGGGGGTACACAAATTGACTTCGTAGCGGTCAGGCTTCATCAGGCTGACCCTGTTGCCAGATGCCCCCGAATATGTTTGGACCTGGACTTCTCGCCATGGCGCCAAGGTGGTAAGCACCGAGCAATCTTTGCAAGTGTTCCCCTTAACGCAGCACTCGTTCAGGCTAAAGGTCGGACCCCTTTCCAAAAGCCCTACGCAGCCCGGATGCTGGATGCTGCGGTCAGGAAGAATGACCTGCGGATGCTTGAGCCTCTGCGTGCCACAGTCGCAGGGCTCCTAGTGCAGCAGCAGCCTCAGACTGTTGCGGCCTTGAACCAGGTTCTGTTGCAAGCCTGCCTGCAAGTGTTTCCTACCGCGCCTCGCGCCAATCATCTACGAGCCTGGCAACGACCTGAGGTGGTCAGCTCTGCATCAGACATGTGGCGTGCATATAGGCTTATGAAGCAGCATGGCAGGACAAGTGCCTCAGTGACCTTGTCGGTTGTTTTCAAGGCTTGGTGCCTTTCAGCCCGCTTTCAGCACCATAGCAAGCAGCACAGACAAGCTGGAAAGAATGCCCGGCGGCAGTTTCTGCATGAGCAACTTGAGCGTGCCGAGCTTGCAGCTAGCAGGCATGACACCCATGAGCTTTTCAGCGATGTCAAAGCGCTTGCCCCCAGGACCCGGCGAATCAAGATGCACATTCGCACTGCGCAGGGCGACCTCTTGTCCCCGGGGCAGGAAGCCGCGGCAATCAGGCAGCACTTCGAAGAGGTTTTCTCGCAAGGTGATACGGTAGTGGGTGCCCCATGCATGACAGCGTCTGTGGCCATAGCGCCTGAGGAAATTCAGGGCTCCTTACGCAAGCTAAAGACTGGCAAGGCCGTGCCACCAGGTTTTGCCCCCACATCGGCTTGGAAAGCGTGTGCGGCGGAGGTGCTGGAACCCCTTGCCCTCCTTGCCAGCACTGCCTGTCAGCCGGGCGCTCACTTGCCTGACGAGTGGACACACTGCTGGCTTGCGCTCTTGCCAAAACCCGGGAAAAGCACCCGTCTTCCCAAGGATTTGCGTCCGATCGGCTTGCAGGAATGCTCTGGAAAGGCCATCGCTGGGGTTTTGAAAGCACGCCTTGAGCCGTACATTGAAGCCAAGCTGGAGCATTACGCGCAATTTGCGTACTGTCCAGGCCGCAGCACCACATCAGCCATCGGCCGGGTCATCGCTCGTAGCAAGCTTGTGCGTCAGCGCCTCAGGCACGGGGTTCGTACGGTGCACGACAGAAGGGCTGGCAGGGACACTTTGCCACTCTGCGGAGGCCTTCAGCTCAGTGTTGACTTAAGTGCTGCGTTCGACATGGTTCCGCGCCAGGCCATGGTTGATGCTCTGCGTTTTTTTGGGGTCCCGGAGGACCTGTGTGCACTCCTGCTAGAGTGGCATGTGAAATGCCGCTATCACATCAAGCATGGCTCCCAGGAATTTGACATCCCCATGCGCCGAGGGGTCCGACAGGGTTGCACAGTGGCCCCAAGCCTTTGGTTGATCTTTTCAATCCATTTTCTGCATAGGCTAGGCGTACAGACCAGCGAGGAGTGGTTGGCCCGGCAAGTCACTGTGTTTGCTGATGACCTGCACGGGGCTTGGCTTGTCGACACACCAGCCGACCTGTCCTTTGCCATCAAATGTGTGCAGGCACTGTTCCGTGCACTCAAGGAAGTGGGGATGAAGGCCAATCCCAACAAATCCTCGCTCGTTTTTGCTGTGCGGGGGTATTACGCGGACACGTGGCTGCGCCAGCATCTTGTCAGGCAAGCAGGGAAGCAATATGTGCAACTAGGCGCGCCCACGGAGCCCTTACTAATACCCTTGGTTCGTGAGTTTGTTTACTTGGGGGTTGTGATTTCTTACGGTGACTTCGAAGGGGCTTCTGCTCGATATCGCATTCAAGCAGCCCAGGCCAGGCGGGCCCAGCTTCACAAAATCCTGCATTCCAGCCGTCACCTTTCCTTGTTCCACCGAGTGCGCATGTACATGACATGTGTGAGGAGCTCACTCCTTTACGGGTTGCTGGCAGTGGGTGTGACCCCGCAGGCTGCCGCCATGCTTCGTCGTGTGGAAATGCGGCACTTGCGTGCCATTGCAAAGGCGCCGGTGCACTTGACGCTTGAATCCAACAGTGCCCTGTTGGCAAGGCTGCAGGTGGAAGACCCTGTCCATGGTGTCGAGGCCAGGCTAGCCAAGTTGGTGCAAGGTGGCCCGCGCAGACCCGGCTTCATAGAGCACAGTGTGCACTTGCATCATGCTTCTACGCTGCACGACCTCCGGGCCATGTTGCGACGGGAGGCGTCCCCGCCAGAGCCGCGCAGCGCAGCTGGTGCCGCTCTTGTGCGACTCTCGGATCACACCCCGGGAGTGCCTTGTCCGCAGTGTGGTGTCTACTTTGTTAATCAAGTAGCAATGCGAGTTCACCATGCCAAGATGCATCATCAGTCATTAGTGAACCCAGACATGCGATCGCTTCAGTGTCAGCGCCAGCTGCGCACCCACTTGCACGCAGTGGATGGCATGCCAATCTGCACTCACTGCCAGACACGTTTCAGCACATGGACAGCCTTCAAAAAGCATATCTTGAATTCCTGTCAGGCACTCAAGCGGGCCCCTGAGCCATCTGCAGACCTGTTGGTTGCCCATACCAAGCCGCTCTCAGAGCGGCAAGAGGTGCAGGACATGATGCGGGAAAAGGGTTGGTTGAGCATTGTTGAGCAGTACCGGGCTGAGCTTAGGCATCATTGCGTGGTGTGTCACCAGTGGGTGTCACAAACTCGCTGTGCTCTCAAAACACACGTGCGTATGGCGCACCCAGCTGTTTGGGCGCATCGAGATGACTGTCTTGCGATGTGCTCCCGGGAGCCACTGGGTCGAGCCAGCAAGTTCAAGCCCTGCGTAGCTTGTGGAGCGCTACCTGCTCACACCAAGCACGCGGCTCAGTGCACGGTGTTGTTCCAAGCCGCTTTGCTCACAAAACTCATCCCACGCCCTGCGCAGGATGAGCCAGACCCCAGCACAGGAGTTTCAGTCAGTCTTCGGCACGATCATGCCCTCCTTGGGCCTCGACCTCCAGGACTTCACCGCTACTTCCGCACAGAAGGACGGCGAGCCCAGGCACAAATGGGCCAAGCCGGAGAGCAAGGGGGGCAAGGGACGTGGGCAGCAGGGCCGACCGCAGGGCCAACGCAGAGACAGGGGCAGCCAGAACTGGGGACCGGACGCTGCCTCCAGCCGCGGTGTGACGCAGGTTCTGCAGACAGTCCAGCGCATTCTCACGCGCCACGAGGATGTCATAGCGCAGGTGAGGGCGGACAGCTCCTTTGTCCTCTTTCTCGAGAAGGGCTCGCACAGTCTCCTGCAGGTCAGCCAGCGTTGGAAGAGCCTCAAGGAGTCGAAGCCCGAGGAGCTCAACATGTCTCTTCGCCAGACTCTGCTGCAGGCGCTGCTCCAGGAGCTTCTCTCCCGGCACAACAAGTTTGTGGCCTCGGAAGCGGCACTTGCAGACGCGAGGAAGGCCGGCCTGGTGGCTGCGGCTGGCAATTCCTGGGCCTACCTCGACTGGGATCACAGGGCTTCCCAGCAGACACCATCGCCCACCAAAGCCCCAATGTCTTTCGAGCAGGCCCATGCCACGATGCAGAAGATCTTGTCGTACATCCCCCAAGAGCATTTGATCCACAAGTTCCATTCCACACGGCCTCTGACGAGCAACAGCTCCGGGGAGAACTTGGTCTTTCTCCTCGCAGTGTCAACGCAGGGGAGCGATGCCGCAGAGCTGCATTCCCTCTTCCGAGAGCTTTGCTACAGCGCGTGCCTGAAGCTTGTTGGGTTGCGCCTTCGCCCGGAGCGGATGGACCGGCAGCCAGCAGTTCAGCAGCTTCAGCAACAGCTGGGCCCCCTGAGGGGCTCCGAGCTTTGAACTTGAGGCCGCCGCGTCTCATGTTGCATAACAACGGCTGCGTGTGCTATTTGAATGCATGTGCGCATTCGTTGGTTTGGCTGGGATATCTCACCGGCAGGACAGGCCGATCTGCCATGGGAGGCTTGGAGGCTGGCCTCAGTCTTCTCCGAACAGGTGGTCAGATGTGCCTCACACTCTTGTTGCCTTGGCAGCTGCTTTTGCAGGGCTGGGAAAGCATCCATGTGCAACAGGATGCAGGCGAACTCTTGGCATTTTTGTTGCGCAAAGCATTGCCTCCGGACATTGATGTTGCTTGGCAGGCGCGGCTTCAAGTCGATGGGGCTATGCGCGTCATGGATGTAGGAGGGCCGCACAGCCCACTTGCCATAGAAGTGAGTTCCCCGACACTGCAGGGGTGCATCCAAGCGTGGCATGCTCAGCATTACCTGCATGCCATGCTAAGAGCCAGTGTGCATGTGCCCATAGTGCTTCAGAGGTATGCTGGTAGCAGGTATGGGCCACGCAAGCAAACGCAGCATTTGAACATTCAGGCCGGAATGACTGTGTGCTTGCCAGTCTTTGCTGGTATTGAGTTGCAAGCTCAGTGGGCTGAATACCAAGTCAGTTTTGTTATTGAGCATGTGGGGCCCAGTCTCTCTTCAGGTCATTATCGTGCTTTTCTGAGTGGATACCACCCGCTGCGGCAGTGGGTGTACTTTTTGGCTGATGATGAGAGCTTCCCAGCACTTGCTAACCAACACGACTTGCAACAGCTTGCTCATAATAGCTATGTGATAGGCCTCACCAGATCTGATGCTTTCATAAGTGGGTTGCCTCCAACAGCCCCTTGATGCCTTGCGTGCATTGGGTGTCTGTAACCGGCAAGGGGTGCTAGGCTCTACGGGGCGGCCCTGCGCAGCGGTCACAGCAAGTGTGCAACAAGTGCCGACTTATATTGTTCATGATTGTTTCACACAGGGGCCTTTTTGTATTTGAGCTGCTTGCTAGGGTACACGTACCGGAGCAGACATGCTCATGTGGGAGAGGGGGGTGCCAACTGAGCACTGCAGCTTATAGCTGCCGGACCGGTGCGGTCTGCCTCCATGATTCGCGAAGCGTCCGGACGGGCGAGGCGTGTGAGAGAGAGAGAGGTCAAACCACTAGCTCCCAAAGCTGCAGCATTTATCAGCACCAAGCACTACAATTCACCCTGAATTTAAGGAGTCAGGAAGTAAGGCGCCTTCATCGCCCGCTTGCGCCAATCCCAGGGAAGTTGGTTCCAAACTTTTCCACCGTGCCGAAAGGGAACATACATGTACAGCCTCTTCTGGAGTGGCGGCTATGCCAGGCTTCCCCACCTTTCCCCTTAGGCCAACAAGGTGATGTTTGATTCCAAGAAGGGCAAGCCTTGCTACTAGGGACCCCTGCACATGCTGCTTCTTCATCTTCCGCTTCCTTTTATAGCCATCGTCCGACCCTGCCCAAAACCAATCAAGTTGATGTCGCTTAGAGAGCCATTTCCGCGGAGACTCAACAAACGTGCCAAAAGAGCTACACTCGCCTTGCGCGCCCTTCCGCTTCGGAGAAATGCAAACACACGCCTTGTGACATCGGCCCCTGCTCTTGGTCCAGGTGGCAGGGTGCAAAGCAATGCCTAACGTTAAGCCCCCAGTAAACAAAAAACACAACACCTGCTTATTCTTGTGGGTGTGTTCCCCTCCCAAACCCGACATAGTAAAAGCAGCGGGTCATTCATCCGGGGTCAACATTAGCATGATGGAAAACAACAATGTTGTTTCCGCCAGTGCCCTTTCAAGTACAAAGTTGGCACACCTCCATTCGGAAACCTCAATACCACCAAGGACTAAAACCGACAAAGGCGTGTCTGCTGCCCACATGTTCCTAGTCTTTCCTCTCTGAAAGAAAATTAAACTAGCTCAACTGATTGCGAGCCTTGATGGGATGCAGCACATGGTCGTAGATGCCTCAGGCTTTGGAATTTCCTGTCCACGGAGATCCGGGAGGATAGGAAAACCTGATGCTGGAGAATTCCTAGGAAATTCCTTCTACTGCATGGTATTGGATGGATGTTCTTTGTTCTGAAAATGGGAAATTGGATCCTGCCCAAAGTGTCTGAGGAACATTGTCTTACCTCGGTTGCTTTCTGCTCTCCTGCTAAAAGTTTAACTTTTAGTGGTTTAACGGAAAACCTATTAGTTGGCAAAAAGTTAAAGTCCTAACATCCAAGCAACATGCACCAAAGTTACCCCCAGTAAAAAGTTAGTAGGAAGCTCACATTCTCCTTGGAAGGAGCTTCGCCAAAGTTCGATCGGCTTTGGGGATAATGATTCAGCTTTTCCCGTTTGGTTGAAACTGGGTATCCATTGGACTGGGTAGCTCATTGGAAAACTGGCTTTGGGAATCCATGGCTCATTGGGTATCATTGGGTATCCATGGGATGATTCAGCTTTTCCAATCGGCTTTGGTTGAAACTGCTGCTAAGCACCCCATTGGACTGGGTCAGGGCCTAACTCGCGACCAGAATGATAAAGACACCTACCGACACAAAGTCAGTTGCTTCCAAACTGAGTGGCGGGTATATCATATCTAAGGGATTTTCTACTGGACCCTGGGATTAATTACACCCTAGATAACTTGGCCGAAATGGTGCGAAATAACAAGGCTTTATCTGGAGAAAGACCGGCAAGTGATTCCCCGGGTGTAATCTCAGGGTGCCAGAATATCCATAGAGACATCATTGGAGTACGATGGAACACCGGAAGCCGTTGAAACACCCACGTGAGCTGATTTCCAGGCACCGTCACCTGTAGCGCTTTTTTTGTCATCTCATTTAGAGCAGCAGGGCAGCCACTGCAACCAGGACCGCACGGTCATATGGGTAGTTAAATCGAGAGCCTGGATGGTGACTATAGACATCATTAGACTGGCCAATAAGAACCAAGGGTCCCTCCTACGGCTCCCCTATGGTACTGAATCAGCATTGGACAAAGTGCGGCAAGGCACATCGGCCCGCATCCATACCCACGCCCACCACGTTGTGGACATGACCCCACCTGAGGTCACAAAACTCGGCAGAAATCAGCTCAACATGTTCTGTCTGCGTATTTGGATAAATTATGATTCACCACCCTGACATGGTCAAATTAGGGAGAGCCAAATATGGTGGGTTTGCTTTTCTGCACACCTGCTAACAGTTGACAACTTGTGGGAGCCGTGGAAACCCAACCACTACACCAACTAGAAACCTATAGCTAAAATGCTAAGGGACCGGGTGGCAGGGAACCACCAATTCCTATGGTTCGAACACGAGCCATTCTCCGTGCCTGCACTTCCTGCGCAGCTCTTAGCGTCTTCAGGCGCTCCGACATGTGGAGGTGTGGCTGTTTCAGGGCACCGGCTTTTGGGACTTTTGGGCTGGTTTAAATAAGGAAAACCACAACGAAACTACCCATTTTGAAGCTCACCCTGTTTTGAAACACGCACTCATGTATGTGTCAAAATTGGAAGGACCCCAAAAAGGTGGGCTTTGCTGTTGCTTTCTATTCAAACCAACCTACAATGAGTACCATGAATTTCAAGCACTGGGGTCCATTGAAGTGACATCCTCCCGCTTACCCTCTGGGTGGTTTAAAGGGAACCAACACCAGGATGCGTAGCCGTAGCAATTTGGCGGTTCACGGAAAGTCACACCTGAAACCTTGCTCCAAAGACCTCGAAAAGGGCCAACATTCGATCTGAGGGAAACCGACTTGCTGGTTCGATAGGCAGGGAATGACACATGAATTCACCCCGAGAAAAACCACCCCCGCATGGCTGCCTTTGAATCCCCTTCCGGTTCATTCCCAACACCCGGACTTAGTCATTTCCTACCTATCGCGCCAGCAAGAACCTTCCCCAGTTCTATCCAAGTGGGTTTTGATATCTTAGGATCGGCTCGAATAAACCCGTCGAAAGGTTGGGTGGAAGGGGAAAAAGGGGCGAGGTGAGCGATTCCTACGAGTACTCAAAACAAAACATGGGGATGTGCAAAATCATGAATCAGGGAGCCCCCCAAAACAGACCTTCATGGGTGAGTCTGCGAACCGAAACCCTCTGTGAGGCCGCTCTCTGCCCACATGGAATGATCGAACTTTGTTATACCCTTCCTCCCACTAACAGAGCATCTGTGGGAGGCTCCCCCCGAAAGATCAGTTTCCTCTTCAATGGACCCTCTGTCACGTGCCATGTTAGTGGGACGGAGTGTAACCCAATTGTTCAATTGGGGGAGGAAACACGCTGTCTGTGATGGTTCCCTCTATGTTAAGGCGGTGAACGAGATGTAACCACGACTATTCAGCCACTGTTTAAAGGGTATACTCTCTGTTTGTCACCTTGGTTGGTCTGGGGGTAGTGGAAACGAGTTGCGTAAAATTATCCGAGATGGGTGGCTTCTTTGGGTTTCCCTTCAAAACCACCTGAAAGAGGGTCCCCGCAAAAACAGCACGCACCCTTACACACACACACAACCAGCCTTTGACCTTGCATTGCCGGGCGGCAGGGTGTCTATGACCATGTTCTTCCAGGCCACATCGGGCAAAGCCTCGCGACTCGCACGATTCCGCGATTCGCATCGGCCAGCCTTTTGACGGCCCTTCCGAACACATCCGACCCGAAGCTATGTTCGTCTCACCCTCGACCGAGACGGACATCCGGGTCCCTCAACAAGTTCCAGAGTCCATCTCAAAGTTCAGAGCTTGAGGTGGGTCTATCTTTTCTTGAGGCTACCCCTTTGTGATTTTACAGGGAGCCCAAAAGGAAAACCACATGTTCGTTGGGGGGGAAGAACAGTTGCGCACCCAGCTGGAGCCATCAGTAGGCCGATCAATTCGGGAGATTCTAAAAGCCCGACCGACCGGAACCGCAGAATCGAACAGCAAGGAACTCACAAGACGCCTCAGGCTGTTGGCCCGACCCTTGTGGGGCCTTTTGTTGGGAATGCGGGCCGATTGCAGGGTTCTTAAAACTAGAGAGCTTGCCATGCTTGCACCTAGCTTGAACTATGCAATGTGGCTGTGGGTCAAAAAAAGGTACCCCAAATGGAAACTTGGACCAAACCCTGCGGTCCCCTGGTGGTTTAATTTTGACCCATACCCATGTGTGTTTTCCTGGAACTGCCTGGGATCCCCAGCCCCAAATCTAGGATTGGCTAAGGCTTTCAGCTGCAGCCTCCAGATTGGTCAGAAGATGATACCCCGACTTTGAAGTGCTTGCAGTTACCACTGTCGTGGGTAACCGAAGGGAAACCATGATGTAAAACCTAAAGGTGGCCATACCTGGTTACCTATACTATAGTGGCTTGCCTCGAAACACTGAGTGTACTACTATAGTCTGTCCAAATGTCGAGTCCGTCAAATGGAAAGTGAGAAACGAGCAAATGCATACAACTAGAAAAGAAGGCTCGTCTCCCCAAACGTCAACATCAGAAAGGAACAACAACAAAAAATATCGGTATGCGTCAAAAACAGGGAAAACTAAAGAATAGTGAAGCGGATCAAAAGTCATAACTGGCTGGAGCTTCAAAGCTCCGGCTATGTGGGTCTTACTATGATCTTCCTCCGGCGAAACTTCGTGAAGCAAAACAGCAGATGGCTGTTTGTGTGTGTGGTGTGTGTGTGTGTGTGCGTGATTTGTTTTAGGGTACCCTTTTTTGGGATACTTTTCAAGCGAAACCAAAGGAAAACCACCCATTGCAGGTTTCCCTCATTTCGATACAAACTTCTGTGCATCAGGGTTGTGTGAATTACCTTTCCTCTTCTGTGATACCACTGGAAGGAAATCCTTCCAAATGACTTCTTCACTTAAAGGGCAGGTTCCCCTGATATCACCCTAAGTGGAAACTAACTCTGTGTACGGGGAACTGCAAATAACAATCAAACCTGAAATAAGGAGTGGACCAAGTAAACCTTCACGAGTGTGTCTTACAATAGGGGAACCCTCCAAACAGGTGGTTTTCTTTTGGTGTCCCTTAAAAACCACTCCCAAAAACGGTGCACGCACAAAAAGACACACCCATATATGTGAAATGATCAAACCTGTGGGTCAGGGCCATGGTTCTATGTCTAAACCCCCCAAACGGGGTGGGTGGTGCAGCGATTTCCACTCCAAACAGGCAAGACAAATAGGACAACTGCCGGGGATTCAAACAGCACCTTCAGCAAAGGGTGGTTGATGTTGCTTCCGGCACTTCTGCCAAACCCAAGCAAAAAAAAGCACAGGTATCCTGAGCACGTGGACCCTCCAAGAACCTGCCCCAGGGCAGCAAACGCCCCACGAACAAAAGCGCAACATTCTCGCCAGATTGACTCAGCACTGAAAAACGCACACTGTTTTTCTGTGCCAGACTTGGGCCAACCTCATTTGGCGTGTTTGCTGAAGAAAAACAAATCCATCTGATGTCCGAGCAGCGGTAACATCTAGAGTGAGCGACTTTGCGAAGCAGGCGATTCGGAGATCCATATCCTGAGCCCGAAACTCGCTACCGGAACAAAGGTTGGATGGAAAGCCTGCAGGCTTGGGTTTGGATGGCACCTACTATCTGCACGGCGTTTGCTACTGGTGTTTGGGCAGAGATGTCAGGACATGTGGGCCTCATCTTGAAAGTTGTCCACCGCTAGTACGAAATCGTTGTCGAACTATCAATGCGATATCCATGAACCTGCATGGAGAGTACGGTCATGGTCTTGCACCCAGAATTGGCAATCCAGGAGTAGTAAACCCCCGGTTGATCATTCCCTTCTGAGGGATGCATCAACTTAACATCTAAGAGTCAACCACAAACATTGGAACATATTTACACAGGGTTCCCGTTGCAAAACTTTTAACTAAGCGAATCCCTTTCAAAAACATTGAGCGAATCCACCGTACATCAAATCAAAACAGATTCATTCGGTACAGAACCAACCACACACTCAAACATCAGCTTCGGGCGGAAAGGCCAAAAGTCCCATCGCTCGAGACCCCCCCCCCCCGACTGCCTTTGGTGGCCGTGTGTCTTTGTCAGGAAGGGTACTATGTTTTCCAACTTAAAATGGAACCGAAAGCAAGCCGCCCACCTTGGGGGTTTCACTAGCTTGAGACAAAGCCAAAGAAGCAGTCAAAGTTGTACCCTGGGTGGGTCTTTGACTCCCCTGCAACCACTTCGAAGTCATCTGCACAAATTACGATTCCCCAACTAGAAATCAGGAATCCACTCAAGGAACGTCATTTGCACCGAGCCCGTTTTACCTTGGTGAGCTCATGAGCGCGAAGTGATGCGTTGACTGGTTGCCAATGCCCTGAAAACCCTACAGATGCGGGTATCAAAGCTGGGGGGCCATAAAATTGAAGTTCCTGTTGGTGTCCCCAAAGGTGATAAGAGTTCCCTCAAGTCAAAAAAGCACAAACCCATTTGCCAGGACTGGGAGCAGGGTTGACCTCTCTCGCTAAAAATTGCCGAAAGGGGAAACCAAAAGGAGAGCTGAAGTCCAAGCATCCCAGGAGTGGTTCCTGTCCGTGCGCTGCACGCAGATGTCGTCCCCTTCCACAGAGACCTGGTGGCGAAAGGAGCATTTGTCTTATAACCTTAACCTTAGGTTCAAACAACCTTTCCTGGGGAGAGGCAGGCTTGGGGCCCACTTGTTTAAACTGGGTTGCACCAGATTGAACTGTTCAAAAAGCTCCTTTTCTTGGCCACAGCTGGGGCATGTTCTGAGTCTGCTTCATATTTGGTCTGCACTTGCAAAGGTAGCTTTAGAGAGACCACCGATAATCTTATCCTTTGCTCAAGGCGTCCATGATCATGACCATTTCGGACTACACTCAGATTCAGATGGAAACAAATCAACTTCAGCGAAAGGCCAAATAAGGTTGGCCCAAGTGTGGCACCGATAAACAGTGTGTGTGTTTTCAGTACTGAGTTGCTGGCCCGTGAGGCTCCTGAATAGCGCCCTGATACTCACTAGTCACTCACAGTCAGCTCTGAATCAGAGGGAAAGGAGGCGATGCTTAGTCCATGTTGGCTTGTGCCAATTGCAGGCCTTGATTCGCATAGGTCCGAGAAAACTTCGAATATTTGCCAACACTAATACTCTTGGGCGGACCGTTGCGCAAGGAGAAACCAAAACAAAGCCAAACTAATTGTCGATAGTAAGTTGACAATCTTCTAAATGCTCGGGGCAACCTTGATAAGTGGCAATTACACGTTCTGGCCCTGAATTTTGGAAGAGACTTGTGGCTTTCCAAGCAATATTGGCATTTACATCTTGCCCTTCGGCCTTCGGAACGGGGCCACCTGCTGCCACACCCATTTGCTTGGATCTTTGACCTTCAACTTTTGGGGCCGAATTGTGTTCATTTTCCCACTAAGCCACAGTTCATTTTGAAGAGGGGGCAATAGCTACGAAGTGGTGACATCTTTAAAGTGAGACACATTTACGCTTCAAATTGTTCACTTGGAAGCGGATGGGCCCCTTTGAGGCGACTGCGGGAGGATGCAAGCAGTGTCCTCTTGCTATCACCTGCTGTATAGAAGGGGACCCCTGGGTACACTCACCAGATTCAAATTCGGAACTCAGGGGGGGTTACTCCTCAAGTTCCCGCGTAGGGCGACACACTGGGGCCCAAAGGTGTAGAGCTATGCCCCTTTGCACTCGTCAACTCTTTGCATGGGGATGTGGTTCAGTTGCCATGAAGACATCACGATGTTTCTCAAGGGCCCTTGTCTTGCTGGTTCTCAGGTGGGAATAACCCAATGTCTTGGGACTGAACCTGGGGATTCCCTTAAAGGAAGCCGAAACAAACGGTTTCTCTCAGGGTCATTCCATTTCTCTTTCCCTACCTATCGAACCAGCAAGTTTTGGATAGTATGGGGAATCCAAAACGAAACCACTCCTTTTTGGGGGTCCTCAAATTTGAGCAACCTAAGGGGAAGCCAAAGGGAAACCGCTCGTTTTTGGGGTCCTGCCTGGAAGGTCTCTGGCAGGGGGTCCTGGTTGATTCTGTGCTCCTCGCGATCGGAATCACTCTGATACGAACAGGGTGGTTCCTGCCTGGGACACCCCAGAGATTCTACAGGCACATTGAGATTTAAAAGGCATCACCAAATTCTACAATCATTCAGAAGCCGGAAAGAAGAATTGGACCCTAGCTCACCATAAAGTAGGCACAGTCATCCATGTTCTCCCAGCGCATCAATAGGCAGATCGCCATTGAAAAGAAGCATGGCCGCTCCTGATTTTCTTTGGGGCTTTTCCTGCCTTTCGAAACACTCAGACTCCCCTGACAAGAGACTCACGGAATTTCCGGCCGCATTGGTTTCTTGCAGAATGGCCATCTATGTCCAGTCAGTCAAGAGGGGAGCTAGCTACTTTCCAGCAGATCGACGGGGATCTGCTGAACATTGAAGTGGAACATGAGCGGTCAATGTTTACAGTCATCTGCTTCGGTCAAGGGGTTCCCGGCAATTTTGCGAGTGCAGCGTTGTTTTTTTGTGTTGGAAGTTTAGTGAGTCCCCCCTTCTGGTCCCTCCCGATGAACTATCGACAACTCCAGAGACTTGGTTCAAAGATACTTCTGGACCCCCGCTGCTTCTTTCGGTGCGCTCCGGATTCGCTGCATCTTCATGACAGATCAGGTCCACCGCATGTACCGTGACGCAGTGCTTGTCGTGCAAGCCTCGGTGACACACGAAGCTCACCTTTAGGCCAAAAAGACAATTTGTTGAAATCCCTAAGGGGGGGTAGGTACCAGGAAGGGTGGGTGGTTGGGAGCCCTAGGGTTCTCTAGAATTCCCATGAATTCCTTATGGCTCCTTGCAAGCCCCCCTGGACCACCTCCCCTTAAAAATTCCCTAAACCAAGGACCCTGATGAAATTACTCTAGTTCCCAAAGCAAAATGCGTAAACCAGGGAGGGTCTTCGCGCCGCCCAAGGAGATGATTAGGCAAACATCAGTCTGGGCAAATTACTATAGATCACAAAATGGAAAATATGGAATCGCCTAGGAAACAACCTTCAATACTAAGAATGGACCAGACATCAGAAACTGAAAGTTCAACAGGTCGACTTTGGGCAAGTGAGTTAAATCATCCGCGTTGCCCCTTGAGCCCGTTGCGTGGATGGAACAGTGCCCCCCCCCCCCTCAACACAAAGAAAAAAGTGATCCTTCCCTGAGCTCTGTTAAACCCCCGGCAGCCATTGAAGTTGCCGAACCAAGAGTGGTCCGGCCACGCGAAAGTCCCCAAAAAAGCTCTCTATGCTGTGAGTCCTCTAGCACACCTCAATGCACCTCACCGCACATTTTCAATTTGCCTCCTGCAAAAGACACGACTTGCCCATCATTTCAATTCATGAGCCAAATGGCTTAAACATGTCCTTTCCCAATGATTCCATTTATCAGCCCCCAAGTTTGGTCGCATCTGGGCCCTTAAAAGACACGCCCATAGTCTACCCTATATCGTTGGCCCAGGCTCATTGCAAAAAGCGAAACAAATGGTGGAGAACATTGAGAACATCGCACACGTAAAACAGTCTGCCTGAGCCAGTGCATTTGGGTCTGTCTTTGTGTGAGTGTACCCCTTTGTTGGTGGTAAAGGGACATCAAAAGGAACGCCGAAGACATTTTGGTGGGTTCAACCTTAAAAAAGACAAACCCATGTAACATGTACCTATAACCTCCTATGGCTTGCCATGCGCTCAGCGACATAAGCCCCGAGGGGGAGAAGCTCGAACACAAGGACTAAGGCTGGCTAAGGATTGAATTTGAACCAAAAGAAGTGTGGGTATGTGCCCAAATAGGGATTTGGACCCCCCAAAACGGACTTTGGCTTTCCTGCCTCAACACGACATACACGCATACACACACACACATAAACAAATACTGTAACACCCGTATGCTTTCCAAGGTACTGGTGTACGGATCGCGCTTGCCCACCGGAATCACCTCAGAAGCAAGCCTTCAGTTCGAGAAACGCCAATATAACCACACGCTCACATGTGGAATGTTGCCCCAACGCACACGTTCGAAAACGAGCTCTCTGCGCTGGTTGCGGGTTGAAACGAGAACTTGTTTTGGCTGAAATGTACAGAACCTCCTTTCTCTGGCCTCATTACTTTACCGTGACTTCAGGTGGTGAGTTAAAAGGAAACACCCCATGCTTTGGCTTTGAGAACCGGCACACGCCGGCATAAATCACGAACCCAGTTTGTGTCCCCATAGTCCAAAGGCAAGCGTCATGGGTTTGTGTTGCTTTTTGGAGGGTTGGTTCAAAGGGAAACCAAAAGGACACCAAAAGGAAACCGCTGCCCCCGGAGCTTGGGGCAAATTTATGGCCACATTCAACAAGGTTTGTTCCAGTGAGATCTGCGCTGTCCTCAAGCACTAAACCAAGTAAAAAGCTAAACACCTAAGGAACCGGATGGCTGGGAACCACCAAGTTACACCAGTGACACGCAAAAAGGGGACTAAAACCGCAAACGGCCCCCAAAAAAGCGAAACTCCCCGGAAAACTGCCAGACCGCAGGCCAGCGTCATACTCCTTGTAGGTGTCATGGCAACGGATGCCCATCTCAAAGTCCCATCCGCAGTCTGTGCAGTCAGTCCTGCACACAACTAAGTCCGTTGGATGAAACTCATACACCCCTCC